GTCACTTTTGAAAGGGCCAGGTCCTCCTTGGAGGGGGCTGAAGTTCCCTCCCCCAGTTTTGCTAAGGGATGGAACTCCACAATCTACCCACTTCTCAATGCGGTGTCCTTCCTGCATGGGGTGACTTTGCCTGGCTTCCCACTTGGCAAGTGGTCTGGTTTTTGGCCCAGTATTTTCAAGCAGCACTTGGCTGTGTGATGCCCATCTTTTCTGTATTTGAAACAGGTGGTCAATCTTGGAGGGACGGCTTGAAGCTTGAAGGGCTCTCATTTCCCTTGGGGTGGTGACTTCTTCCAGGTTCTCCTGGCTCAGTACTGGTTTCTGGCCAGGTCAATTTCCACTTCCTCCTCCAAGATGGAGGAGGAAGTAGAAATCATGGAGGTAATTCAGGGCTCCGCAAACTAGGCAGGCATGGTAGAGGTCAGCGTTCAGCCTGTCTTTGAACCAGCTTACTAGGATGCCTTCCAGTCAGTCACACAGGTCTCAGAACTACTTGGTGTATTCAGCCACTGGCCAGAGGCCCTGCTTCACTGTTCTGATGTGGTCACGAACTTTGTGGTCTGCCAGTGGGTCCTCAAACCTGTGGCAGAGCGCCATCATGAAGTGGTCAAAATTCTGAAGCTGGGGGCATCTGCTTTGTGGAGGGTCACTATCCATCTAGCCGCTGCCCACTCCAGGGCCAGGGTGACAACTCTATCCCAGGTGCCTTGGGTTTGGAAGTCTTACCAATATTCCTGCATGTTCGTGAGGACCTGTGCCAGGAAAAAGCCCAGATACCGTGGGTCGCCATTATATTTGATACCCAGGGGAAGTGTCTTCCATTCTAGTTGCGGGGCTTTCATCAGCCTCAGGACATTCGAGGGGACTAGTGCCAGGTGTGGTGGGTTTGCTGGTGTGGCAGCCACCCCATCTGCCCTGTCTGCCCTCACACCATTGGCTGATGCAGCTGCTTTGTCTCCTCTGCCCAGGCAGTCTAGTTCAACTTGGGCTCTCAGTGTCAGATCCCTAAAAGTGATATTGCCATTCAATTGGAGGAAGGGGGAGACTTGAATTCAATTTACTAGCATTGCCTGTGTCAACAGATATTTTACAACCTATATCCTGGCTCCAAAGAGCCCAGAGATCCTCTTTACCTGGAGGAATTTTTATGATAGCCATGTGGGTTGTTTCACTTTAAAGGATAACAGTGGGAATGCATGTTTGTTCGGTTTCTGAGGGAAACTGGGAAAGAAAGCATCTTCACACTTGTGTATTGGCTAAAATCTGCATTCTGACTTAAAGGGAGGGGTCTCTACTGCTTTAATCCTACTTGTCTTGCCTAAGAGTAGTCAGATCTTGCTTTAAGTGGGTGGCTATCACTTCTGCTTAATAAAAGAATCCTTTTGAACTCTCATTTCAAGAGTTCTTCCTTTCTTAAATTGGAAGGAGAGGCAATCCTTACACTCAGGTTCTCAAATGTCTCCATCACATGCCTTGCTTCTTGAGGAATTCATCTTGGACCGGTTCTTCAGCCAGGTCCTCATGGTCCAACAGGGCTTCCAGATCACACTTCTAGCTCTGCTGCTGGCTGCCATGGGTGAGGGTGACATCTTTAGTCCTCCCCTCCAGCTATTCTTCTTCCCCTCTCTAATCAACCAACTCAGCTTCATGGGGTTCTCCAGGGCAGCTGGTTCATTGGTAGGGCAGCCAGAGGTTGTATCCAGCTTGGTGGTGGTGGAGGTTTCACCCCAGCATTCTCCCTCTCCATGCTCACTGCCCTAATCGGACATGGTTTGCAAGGTCCCCTCAGTAGAATGATGCTTCTCCAGGTTGACCAATTTGCAGATCCTGCTTAATGTAAGGACTTGCCTCTCCTCTCTCCTCAAGAAAGCAGAACTCTTGAAACAGGCATTATTTCAAAAGGAAGCTTTTAGATGGTTGGGTGGACTATAAGTACTTTGTGGAGAGGTAGACTCTGTCGCCTACTTTAAACTCTTTTGGCTTCACACATTTTTTGTCAGCTTGTTTCTTATGTGCCTGATGTGCCTCCTCCAGTGCCTTATGGGCAACTGGACAAGTGTTCTGCAGTTGGGCTATCCACTCTGCTAAGGAGGGTACATGTGGTTTCCCTTGAGGCAGCTCTGGAATAGCTACAAAGTCCTGACTGGAGGCCACCTTAAATGGGGTGAACCAGTGGTGAAATCCAGATTTTTTTATTACTGGTTCTATGGGCATGGCTTGGTGGGCATGGTGTGACTTGGTGGGCGTGGCTTGGTGGGTGTGGCAGGGGAAGGATACTGCAAAATCTCCATTCCCATCCCACTCCAGGGGAAGGAAACTGCAAAATCCCCATTCCCTCCCCACTCTGGGGCCAGCCAGAGGTGGTATTTGCCAGTTCTCTGAACTACTCAAAATTTCCACTACCGCTTCTCTGAACTGCTCAAAATTTCTGCTACCAGTTCTCCAGAACCTGTCAGAACCTGCTAGATTTTACCCTTGGGGTGAACCCCAAGCTACTATCCACAGAATTGTTATATGCTACCTCTGCAAATGGCAAAAGTTCAGTCCAATTGTCCTGTTGGTAATTAATGTAGCACCTGGGATACTGTTCCAGGATTGCGTTAGTTTCTCACAAGCCCCAATAGTTTGTGGGTGATGGGACGAGCTTAAGCCCTGGGTGGTTCCCAACAGCTTCAAAAATTCCCTCCAAAACTGTGATGTAAATTGCACTTCCCTATCGGAAATAATGCACTCAGGCACACTGTGCAACCTTAAGTAAGAGTTTACTTAACATCTTCGTGAAGGGAATTTTGGGGCACGGAACAAAGTGCATTTGTTTTGAAAAAAGATCAGTAACAACCCAAATAACAGTGTTCCCCCCACTTTCAGGCAATTCCACAATAAAGTGCTTAGATATTTCTTTCCACGGTGCTTGGGGGTTAGCCACCGTCTGTAAAAGCCTTGTGGGTTTCCCCAGAGGCCTCTTTGCCGCAGCACAAACTGGACAGCTGGCCACATAGCTTTCAATGTCGACCAGGGCCTCAGTTCTAGTCACCATCCTCAAATGAAAGGGGTGACAGAATGTGTTAACTCAGTTCTGGAACAGTACCTCTGATGCTTTATTAACTACCGACCTATTGCCATTTGCGAAGGTAGTATACAACAATTCAGTGCATACCAGCATGGGTTTTACCCCATTCCAGGTAGCCACAGGTGAAGAATTCAATCCAAACTACCTACCACTGAACCAACAATCCCCTCCCTAAAGGAGTGGCTCAATCAGTTAAAGACCACATGGCCCATGGTTCACAAAGCCCTAGATGAAGCAAAAGCAGCCTAGAAAGCTCAGGCAGATAAAAAGAGAGCGGAGCTTAAACCATTTAAAGTTGGGGATTGAATCTACCTTTCCACTTGGGTCTTACAATCCTTGCAACCATCTAAAAATTTGTAGGACTGTTCCCTATTAGCTGCATTATTAACCCAGTCACAGTGGAACTGCAATCACATAATGACAAATTCATTATGTCAAAATTGTCAAGATTGTCTGCAAGATTGTCTGCTCTCTCCAGCAGTTTGAAGGCAATATTGCCTGAAGGGCTCAAGGTTGACTCAGTTGTCCATCATTCAGAGGTCTGTGAAATAAGGACTCAGATTGTTGAGGGCAATATGCAAATAATGCTTACATTGTAAACCACACAGAGTGTGCTGTAAAGTGCTATGGGGAGGTATATAAGCCTAAATGCTATTTCTATTTCTATCTTGCAGAAGATGTAAGGAAATTAATTGTCTACCCCTCATTCCTGAATTTATCAATATTCAGGACTTAAATCAAAACCAAATAAGCTATTGTAGAAAGTTAGTACCCACCCCTCTTCTAGAAGAATGAAATATTTTGGGAAATATTATAAAATGCAGAATATTATATTTCCCTAAAGGAGAAACATGCTCTTGGAAAGCAGCCCCCATCTTTCTTAATAGCCCCAGCAAGACTGGGCCAGCCTATCTACAAAACAAAAGACCTTCAGCTCCAGGATGATGGGATTATCCTTCAGGGCCAAGCCATTCAGTCACAATAGCTATTGCACAACAAGCCCCTTCATTGCATCAGCAAGCTTCAACCAAGCCTGGGACTCAAGACAGCCTACAAAGTTAGCTATGACCCCTGCATAGCCCCATGGGTGTCTGACAGGAGCCAATAAAATACATTTCTTGCACAGGAACAAGAAGCTCAAAGGCAAGGCCTAAGAGAGGGTATAAATAACCTTCTCTCTACTCCATGTGTTCAGCTGCACCAGGACTTCAAACCCATGTGGTCCTGTTCATCAATAAACCATCTTTCCAATCAGCCTCCATGTTTTCAGTGTCTTTCTCCCTACTTGGAACTGAACCCAGATGGATATTTCTTCCAACACTGTGATAACCATATAAAAAGAAAATGTTGGTTTTGTTTTCACAATATATTGATACTATTTTTTTTTATTTTTGACTTGCAAAAATAAAAAAATCTGTTTTAGGGTAACATTATTTCAAAATTTGAAAAGAAATTATTTTTTAAAAATCTAGATGGAGTACACATAATTTGGGGGTGGGGGTGGGGGTTATATTTTGTATGATATATACCTTAGGTGAGATAACAAATACAACTTTGTCTATAGCAGAGAATTTGGGAGGACATTAAATAATTATGTCTTGGAAGAGATATATGTCTTTTGCTAATCTAAGAGTCTGAGATGGAAGAAATACAATTCTTCTACTAACTGAATATCAAAAAACCCTAAACAAAGATAAGTGGATAACAGTCTGCAATCTCTGATACCTCAGTGTTCCTGCTTGAGAATACACTTTGAATCCCAAAATCATTGAATCACAGGTAGCATGTTCTAAATGTTGGTTGGTGGAAGGCAACAGTGGAAGAAAGCTATGTTGTTCTTTTCTGTCCTGTGAGTATGTACTACTGACACCATGATGGTGATGATAGCTTCAATGTCAAGGTTTAATTTCACATATTAATTCCATTTAAAGAATTTACAAACCAATTTTATTAATTTTGAGCATACAAATACAATATTAAAATCTGGCTTACAATATGTATATGGTATTTTAATTTTGACTTTACATAGTGATACAGTGCATAAATCAAAATGGGTGTACTTATTCTACATCCTTTGAAGCATTTATATATTTTCTTGCTGATTCCAGTTGTTTCCTCATTGCATCCTTCACTATCTAATCTGCTACATCAATATACTACTTGCTAATCTTTTTCATCCACAGATACAAATCTCTTTACAATTGTGATTTTTGTGATTGTTTGAACACAATACTACTAGCAAAACACAAAATGTACAGACATCTCATTCAGCTATGTAAGCACAAAACTAGAAAATTATATTAAAACAGGATTTTTAAAAATCCTATGTTTAAAATCCTATTTTAAAAAGTAGTCCTTAATAGAAGCACTTTCTTATAGATTTACTACTGAATTAATTTTTTTTTTTTTTTTTTTGGCTATAGAATGTACTGTCAATATTGGTGTTAAAAGTCATTTACTTACTCTTGGAATACTTCTGATCACCATAAGTAAACAGATCTTAAAGGGCAGCAAAGGAGTGAGGGAGCTTATGTGGTCCTCTTGACTATAATGACACTGAGGGCATAGCACTCTTTTCAAATTGTGCATAGTTCATTCCACTTTTTCCAAAAGAGAATTAGCTACTTTGCAGTATATTATGTATGTATGCATGCATTCATGTATGTGTGTATGAATGTACAGTATGTAATACTGTACACTGTGATGGAAATCAAGAATAATTGTTGATTACTGAAATTCCATTTTGCATGTAGACATGCACATGTAGTGTTTGGGTATTGTGAAAATCACTATTTCAAGGCTAACCTCAGATCGTGAGATAACTGAGGACTTAGATACACTGAGGATATGATGTGCACCATCATTAGGAAAATCGTTCTCTTTTTTTCTAACTAAGCATACCTAATCACTTGTGTTATCAGAAATTTAAGCAGATACATTTTATTATTTAAATGAATAAAATGTCCAAAGAATTAATATAACTATTTAAAATATTTTATGGAGAGCAGCATAATCTCATAAATCATAAATCAAAGAAGAATCATAATGATAAACATGTAGCTGGGTCTCTTAGGTCAAAAAAAGCAGTATCCTATTGTAAAATTCTACAAAGCAGAAATAACAAATCAGTTATATATTAGGTAAAATGTATTCATATAATCCATTTGTATATTATTCCACACAAATACAGTCAAAGTGAATGGAACAGCATAAGGGCATTCTTGTTATTTTCAATCTGGCTTGCTTAAAAGAGTTTTCAAAGTTTGTCTCTGATGTTCTTTTATAGAAAGGACCCATTCTTTTCAGGCTAGAGGATTCTTGCATGTATCTTCTGACAGAGACAGAATGATGGATGGAGTTGGTAATTGTAATCTAGTGATAGGAAAGCCAGTCACTTTGACCAGAGTTCATATTTGCACCTATTGCTTGATTTACAGTACAACTTGGGCCTCCAGATTTAGCAGCAGGATCTTCAGACAGAGGAACTTTGCCCTGCAAATTGTAAAAGGAAACATTGTAATTTTTCCAATACTGAATTATATTTGCATAGCTACTTTCAGTGAATTATATTGCAATATGAAGACATACTATAAGATGCCTTGCCTAGCATATGAGTCAAAAAACACCAGGTTTAAACTGTGTATATGGATATTCTCTCTCTCTCTCCCCTCCCTCCCTCCATCCCTCTCTGTCCCTCCCTCTCTCTCTCTCTAACCTATTGGCATATTTAACTTGAGCCCAACCAGAAGAAGAAACAAAGATAGGTATAAAGTATTGTCCACTATTTTCAACTTTCTAAATTATAACAAATTGTTCAGAACATTAACAATCTACTTGTATTGCTCCAAAATACTGATATTCTTTATTATATTATAATATATATATATTATATTTTCATTTCCCCCCCCCCTCATAATAACCTATTGGCACATTTAACTTGAGCCCAACGAGAAGAAGAAACAAAGAGAGGTTTAACTGATGGTACGAGACTAAGCAAACCCATATTCTAGGAAGTGACTAAGGAAAATGTCAGATCCCTAAAAGTGATACTGCCATTCAATTGGAGGAAGGGAGAGACTTGGATTCGATTTACTAGCATTGCCTGTGTCAACAGATATTTTACAACCTATATCCTGGCACCAAAGAGCCCTGAGATACTCTTTACCTGGAGGAATTTTTATGATAGCCATGTGGGTTGTTTCACTTTAAAGGATAACAGTGGGAATGCATGTTTGTTCGGGTTCTCAGGGAAACTGGGAAAGAAAGCATCTTCAAACCTGTGTATTGGCTAAAATCTGCATTCTGATTAAAGGGAGGGGTCTCTGCTGCTTTAATCCTACTTGTCTTGCCTAAGGGTATTCAGATCTTGCTTTAAGTAGGTGGCTATCACTTCTGCTTAATAAAAGAATCCTTTTGAACAACCATGTTTCAAGAGTTCTTCCTTTCTTAAGTTGGAAGGAGAGGCAATCCTTACACAAAGCAAGATCAGCAAAACGGTCAACCCAGAGAAGCAATCTTCACTCTAGTGAAGGGACCTTGCAAACCATGTCTGAATGAAGCACAGAACTGGGAGAAGCTGATTGCTGGGGACAGACATCAACCGCCACCCAGTCAGATGCCTGTTTCGTACACCTCCATCGGAGAGGATGAGGTAACCCTGGAGAATCCTGAAAATCCCCGCTGGTCAATTGGCATGGGAAGAAAGATAGCTGGGATGAGAGAACCAGAGGAGTCACCCTCAGCTGTGGCAACTGAAAACAGGGGTGGAAACTGGAACTAGAAGCCCTTGCTGAGCAGGGAGGACTGACCGAAGCACCACTGAGGGAGGATTATCTGAAGAGGCATATAACCCAATTGGTGATGGAAACTTTGGAAAATCTCAACATCCGAAGGGAGCCAGGACAACAACCAAAGGGCGCGGAAAGGGCAGCAGTTGTGGATGATGCCACGGGAGGCACCCACTTTCTGGAACCTGCCTATCGAGCAGATGGCACAGCAGCAGGAGAAGGCCCAGGAAACCCTCCCCCCCAGGCAGCATGCACACCGGCGCCCATTCCCAAGCAGCCCCGAGTCCCGCAACTGGAAAGAGAAACTCCCTCCCTTGGGGTGAAGTTTGATGGGACTCCACAACAATTATGATTCTTTGTGGCACATGTGCTAACCTACATGCAAGAGTACGGGCATGATTTCCAAACCCAAGGATCCCGAGTGCGAGTTGTGACCCTAGCCCTAAAGGGTGCCACTGCCAGATGGATGGTGACCCTGCATAATGCCAACATACCAGAATTGCGGGATTTCGACCATTTCATGATGGCCCTGCGACACCGGTTTGAGGACCCACTAGCAGATTGCAAAGCACGTGACCACATTAAGGTGGTGAGATAGGGCGACGGCCAGTAGCAGAGCATACTGAAGAATTCCAGGACCTCGCGTGTCATGTGCACTGGCCAGAAGATATTTTGGTGAGCTGTTTCAAGGACGGGCTGAGTGATGATCTATACAATGCCTGTGTGGCCTGAGGTGCACTGAATCACCTACATGAATGGTACGTCACCGCCAAAGAAGCTGAGATCGATATGGCCAGAAACCAGTATTGAGCAGGGTGAGCATGGAAGAAATCCCCACCCCAATGGAAGCAAGAGCCACTCAAACCACAAACCACATTCTCTCTGAGAGCTTCAGCCTGTTTCAAGTGTGGAAAAGAGGGGCACCGAGCTGCAAAGTGTCATTCGCAAACACCTGCCTGGGACCACCCACCGGGGGAGAACCCTGCAAAACCGGGCTGGCGTGGGAAGGAGACTGCCCTGAGGAGCAGGGAGACCATAGAAGTTCCATGTCCTCCCCCCTTTGGGGAGGAAACCCTGGCATCTGTACAGGAGGAATCACACTGATTCGGAAGCGATCCAGATGATGAACCACTGGTAAGCAAACCAATTAAACTGCTTACCCTCCCCCTAAGACTATTTATCCCAAACTAGGACAGGGAGATAAATATCTCCACTCTAGTGGATTCAGGGTGCACCCGTTGTTTGATCAGCCCAACCCTAGTAGGGAAGATAGGGATTAATGTAAGAAAGCTGAAAAACCCCATGGCTTTCTGCCAACTAGATGGGTCAATAGCAGGAGGGGAGCCAGCTTCTTTTGCTACTGAGCCTCTACATATAGGCATCAGAAGCCACAAGGAAATGCTTACATTTATAGTGGCACCTGGCATGGAATGGCCGTTGGTCCTGGGCCTTGCATGGCTGAAAAAATGGAACCCAAAAATCAATTGGAAACAAGGCATCATAAAATTTCAGATGAATGTGACTTTTGCTGAGAATCCACATAAAGGAACTGAGGGGGCAGAGAATCGAGAAACAGCTATGCCTGGTCACGCCATACCAACTGAAGGCATACCCATAGAATACAAGGATTTGACTGAGGTTTTTAGCAAAAAAGCCTCAGACGAGCTCCCCACCACCGCGCCACTGACTGTGCAATAGAAATCTTACCCAGCGCTAAACTCCCTAAACCCAAGATGTACAGCATGTCACCAAGGGAGTTGGAAGAGCTGAGAACATTTATTGAGAAAAACCTAGCAAGGGGTTTCATTGAGCCAGCCTGACCTAAAATCGCAGCTCCAGTGCTATTTAGAGAGAAAAAAGATGGCTCAAAACGTCTATGTGTTGATTTTCGTACCCTGAATGCGATCAGTGTGGAGAACATGTATCCCTCCCCCTTATGAAAGATATGCTAGCACACCTCGCTAAAGGGAAATTTTTTTCAAAGCTGGACTTAAGGAAGGCTTACTACCGTGTCAGAATTAAGGAGGGGGACGAGTGGAAAATGGCATTTAACACCCCTCTCGGCTGCTACCAATTCAAGGTGCTCCCCTTTGGGTTACAAGGAGCTCCTGCAGTGTTTATGCAGTTAATAAATGAAGTGCTGCATCAGCATTTATATAAGGGGGTTCTGGTCTATTTGGATGACATTTTAATCTATACCAAGACCAAAGCAGAACATGAAAAACTAGTCAGGGAGGTTTTAAACAAACTCCGCTCTGCCAAACTTTATGCTAAACTTTCTAAATGTGAATTACACCAAGAGAAAATTGACTATTTGGGATACCGCATTTCACACCAGGGGGTTGAGATGGATCCCCTAAAAGTGCAGGCTGTACTTGATTGGGACCCTCCACATATGCGTAAACAGTTACAAAGCTTCCTGGGTTTTAACAACTTTTACCGCCAGTTTATCCCGGTGTTCGCTCAGATTTCCCTCCCCATCACCAAGCTCTTAAACATGAAAGGGGAGGACAACCCCTAAACCAAAGCAGCCATTGAACTGGACTATGGAATGCCAGGGGGCAATTGAAAAACTTAAACAGCTGTTCTCGGCAGAACCAATTCTAAAACACCCAGACACAGAGAAACCATTTGTCATACAAGCAGATGCCAGTGATGTGGCAATAGGAGCAGTCTGCTTCAGAAGAATGAGAAAGACCAACTACAACTATGCGCTTACACATCCAAAAAGTTGAATGAGACTGAGCAAAGGTGGGCCATTTGGGAGAAAGAGGCTTATGCAGTTTGTTGGGCATTGTTAACCTGGAGGCACTTCCTAGAAGGCAGTAAGATCCCTTTTGAAGTCTGGACTGATTATAAAAATCTAGAAGCCCTAAAGACCCCAAGGAAACTTTCCCCTAAACAAGTACAATGGGCTCAGTACTTTGATTTGATTTTACTCTAAAATTCCTCCCGGGGGGAAGAAACTTCCTGGCAGATGCGCTATCCAGAAAACTGCAATACAATAGTGCAAAGTCAGACGTAATCAAACCCATAGTACAAAACAATCAACTAGCCACTAAAATAGTCACCAGATCCCAGACAAAACAAGAAACATTAACGGGCAATGACATCACCCAAACTTTTAAACAAGCATTGGTCACTGATGAATGGTTTTTGAACAACAAATCCAGCTGTCTGATGAAAGAAGACTTGGCTTGGGTGGGAGGGAAGTTGTATGTCCCTGCCAGCCAAAGACTATGCTTAATGGTAAGGTGCCACGACTCCAAATTAGCTGGACATTTTGGGTTTGTGAAAACTTTAAACCTGATTAAAAGACAATTTTGGTGGCCATCACTAAAAAAGGACATAGAAAGCTATGTAGCTAGCTGCCCCATTTGTGCAGCAGCAAAAAGACGTCAGGGGAAAACCCCAGGTCTATTGCAGAAGGTAGCTGAACCATCAGCACCTTGGAGAGAGATTGCTATGGATTTCATTGTAGAATTGCCAAACAGTGAGGGAAATATTGTTATTTGGGTCGTGACAGACCTATTTTCAAAACAGGCACATTTTATACCCTGCCAAAAGATACCAACTGCTAAAAGTTTAGCCAAATTATTCCTAATACACATTTATCGACTTCATGGAGCTCCACAAAGGATCATCTCTGACAGAGGGGTTCAATTCACCTCCAAATTTTGGAGGCCATTTTTGGACCTACTTGGT